TTTTTATTGGCTTGAGTACCTTTTTTTCATTTTTTACAGTAAAATAGAGTTTCTCATAGAATGCCTTCTCTGAATTCTCAACAAGCGTATTGTCGCATTTTCCGTTGTTACTAACTTTATATCTCCGTGAAAGGCGGATAATAAACAGAAGAGTTTTTGTTAAAATGTGCCCAGGCATAGTTTAACTATGTTGTTATCTTGATCATGTTATTTTAGCATTATTTCTTCAGCTCTTTTTTTTTGAAGTAGTCGTTTTTCCCATTGTTCAATTCTGTTATCAGTCCGTCCATTATTAGTACCCCGTCGTGTTCTGATCTTAATGCTTATAATAATAGCAATTGTTACTGCAGCACAGTAAATCAGCATATCCAAATTTTCCAATGTACTGCGTATTTTCCAGACCGTCATACCAACGAAATGTACTCTGCTGTTTGTTCTTCTAGGTGATAGACTATACATACATAGGTCATCATCTGCCAATGATTCTGACAGTATTCTTGCTTGATTTCCTCATTACTGTAGATATTTACTCCTCATGTTCAGTAACAAAAAGGTAAACAAAATCTGAAAATAGTGTAAGTACAAAATAAAGATTTTAAATGTTTATTGTGTTGTTAAATATATAAAATAATTAATTTGTTCTTTCTTTTACATATAAAAGAAACCCATTTTCTGTTAACACTTGCACATATGAGAAAACTGTAATCTCATCAAGATCTCAAAACCAATATTTCATAATGAGGGTATGAAATTTCTTTACCATCAAACGGAATATAACATGTCCCGTGACTTGGATGTACCTGAAAATAAATAATTGTTTTTGTATACTATGCAAATAACTTATCTATATGTAAAGACAAAGAAATATCAACAGAAAAACTGCGACAAATCTCCTCGAAAATTAAAAAGTAAATCAATTAAAGGAAAAAACAATAATTGTATGTTTTTTATTGAAAAATAAATATTAAAAAGATTTAAAATATGTTGAGCAACTCTTGAGTTAACTCTGGTATTCTTGTATCACTCTGTGGAATAAGTACATATAGAATCTAATAATTTTAGGTTAAATAACTTTCGAAGTTGATAAGCCACATAGCCAATCGCTATTTTATTTGCTTATTGTGTTTGCAAAATTCACAAAAAATAAAAATAAAATAATAAACCTAACAATGAACACGAAACAACAAAGAATTGTTAGTTAAAAAAATACCTTGTGGAATGCGTATACATTTTTATTTACAGCACATCTTCCTGTAGTACTGATAGACTACCCATAATTTTTTTTTATAAATCTCCCAACAAATGTGTTGGGAGATTTATAAAAATGCCTAAAGACAGCCATTAATACTCCTCTTCATAAAGTTGGTGGAAAATCTAATGTTGCAACTATAGACCTCTTGCCTTACTACCGGTTCTATCCAAAATTATTGAGTGACTTATGTCCTTTCTCGTTGAAAACAACATTTTATCACAAAGTTAGTTACCGATACCAGGTACCATACTATAGTTAAGCGATACCAGGATTAAATTTTGATCGCCTCCCAATTCTTAAGGAAAGCCAACTACAACGATTAAGGTTTCAGCTACCGTACTTAAGCAAAATGGAAGAAATGATGAAAAAGTGTAGTCCTATCTCACATAACCATGAATCCCCAGTGCTCGCATTAACACTTTTTGCTGAGAAAACTCTAAATCGAACCATTTCATGGGCTATGCTGCGACTCAGTATACAAATGGGGACAGCTGAAAATAATTATGTGAGTGAGAAAACCTCGCCAAATCATTAGGCACACTCTGATGGAATGTCTCCTGACAGCATAACTAGTAATATGGTATACTTCTTCCAAAGATTTCACACTGGAGTGGATTAATAATCTCTACATAAAATTATAATATTCTGAATAACACTAGTTCCTATCTCTGCTGCAATATTAAACTACTTAAGATGAATTAAACTCAATTAAACTGTTGATGTCTGCATTGATGTATATTTGTGTTATACTACTTTGTTATCATTTATAACTATATTGTCCAGGATACCACACATTAAATAAATAAATACAGAGCAATCGATGTATTCTATATTTCAACGAATTTGTTTATTTCAGAACTTATATTTTTGCTCACTCTATAGATTTTACCTGGAACAGCAATCCTGCAATGGGTCTCATCCCTCCGAAACAAGTACATAGAGAAAGGAGATAAAAGCTTTTTGCGTCCAATCCAAAATGTGAGATATTTCTGTGCTGTCTTGCTTTCCGAGTTTAACATTTATTTGACAAGATTTACTTTATCTATTTTTTAAATTTCTACTCAAACAAAGGCTTAGTAAGAATATAAGGCTATAAAATTCGAATTTTAAATTAAAATAAATGAACAATATCAGTAATCTCCTGCTTATTTTGTTTTAATCTAACAGTGATATCTAAAAGTTAGATAATGTGCAAACGAATAGTTTCCAAAAATATATACTACCTACTTATAGATAAAATAAGATGATCGTAGAAATAACCTTTTCCGCAAATCGCCAGGAAATTTTGACATTCCTGTCAAAATTTCTTGAAGAAAAAGTCAGGACTTCCTTACTGTAAGGAAATGTCATTTCCTTACTGTAAGGAAATGATATTTCCGTACAGTTGTTAGTGTTCTACATAAATTAAATTTATAAGCGTCAAGTTTGACAATTCAACCTCAATACGTTTCCATAGTAACCCAAGTAATTTTATTAGGAATTTGAAAGCACCATTTATTTGGGAATAAAATTATCGCGTTTTTTTTTAAATCAATCAATATCTGTCGAATTTTAAACGATTTGCGGAAAAATAGTATGTTTACCTCGTAGGAAAAGCCACATTCCTGGACTCTGTGTTGCTAAGTCTCGGCTTGCGCCTCGACTTAGCAATCTTCACAGTCGTCCAGGCATGTTAAGCTTTTCCTACCCGGTAAACAATGTACTATTAACGTACATTACATTTATAACACTTTACATTTTTCTTCTTTAAAATTTAAAAAAATCTTAAAATTTTTCTTTGAAAATTTTGTTTAATGATTTTAGTAATTTTCAAAATTTGTTGAATGTTTGTGCTCATTTATTTCATTTTGATTATCATTATATTCTAAAAAGAATCATGAGTTATGGGAGGGTATATTAATTCATTTTCATTAAAAACCTTACATTTTTAAATAATTATCTACAAACGACTATAAAATTACTAAAATAAAATTTGTTTATTTTACCTAATTTTATTTAATTTTATTTATTATTTTTATTATTATTTTAATATTTTTTTATTAGTTTTTATAATTTCTTAGTTTTTTTTATAATTTTATATAATTTTTTATAATTTTTTTGTAATTTTTAATAATTGTTTATATTTTTTACATTTTTTCATATTTTTAATGCCCATTAGAGTTATTGGCGTAACTAACCTGAAACTGGTCTTTAGCGTATTCTCCTCCGTTGTAAGCTACATAAGCAACATCCTTACTTGGGATAACCTTTGCCGGAAGCCAGTCGCCTTCGTGGTAAGATCTCCCAACAAATATTTCAGCTCCATCGATATCCACACCTCCTCGAAGTGCTGTTGATGGTAGTGCGCCTCTTGCATGACAATCCACCCAATAGTACGCTAGAAAGAAAAATAACAATATGACTGTTGTATTTTACATAATCCATAAAATAAAAATGATCTATAAAATGTGTTGGTAAGCGCATAACTTAACAATGCATGGACTAATCTTAACAATTCTTTTTTTAAAATGTTCCTTGAAGTCTAATGATGGTTTTTACGGCACGAAAAATTCGAATTATTCACGGGAAAACCCTAAAACAGCCCTTTTTATTTTCCCATACAAATATTTTTTAACTAAATGTAGAGTCAATTCGAACTTTATTGCTATTCAATAAAGTTTATATTAAATTAGAAGCACTCACTGTCGTCTAAACAATGTAGGTGTGTTCCTAACGTCGAAGATTCAATTTGCGCTTTATTGTCGCTGCACAAAGTTCAAATTCAAGCAAATGGATGTGTGTGCGCGTTCGTGTGTGTGCGTGTTTGCTTTGGAGAATTTAATGCGTTCACACAAAAGTGATCATATCGTGAACCCGACCAAATTGAAAAGTCAAAAATGTAAGAGCTATAAATTTGATTGGCCTCGCAATATTCTTTCTTTTGTTTTAGTTTCGGAACTCGACATAAATTGCATCAGTTTTCACATCGTTATATCTGTCAAACAAACTGATGTTTGTCTCCAGAAGGTGTTTCTAGATGTTGCTCAAGATTACGCTCTCGAGATAATATAGCAGGAGACCTAAGCACTATGGGCGTGGAGAATTGGATGGAGGTTGTTCAAGATAGAAAACCCACGAAGGCTTGTAATGCCACGGAGTAAGTAAGTATGATTAAGTAAGTAAGGTGTTCACTGTACCTTTAGATTATTTTTCAATCAGGTTTAAACCTTAAGTTCCCCTCTTAGTTTGAAGCCCTCTGGCAGACATCCCAGTCGGGGTTTTTAGGGTCAGAAAGGATGGCCAAAGTTCTTCGAGGCGAAGATACTTAGGTCACCCGAGCTGGCACTCACACACCGCCCTATCATCATGGTGACGGTTCTGTTCATTAGAATTAAAGAAATAAAGTGCCACATTCCAAATCTATTTGACAGAATGAAGTCTGTCGGGTCCGCTAGTGGATAATAATTATCAAAATAATATTTGATAATTATGTTATTTACATAAATAAAAAAATCGAAGGACGCAGAGGAATTGGTAGAAAGCAGGCCTCTTGGTTAAAGAATATCAGAGAGTGGACAAGTATAAAGAAAGCTGAGCAACTCTTTAGAATAGCTCGAGACAGAGACAGTTTCGCCACGTTAATCGCCAACGTCAAGGGGACTTGATAGGGCACGTTAAGAAGAAGAAGACATAAATAAAAACAGGCCAACTTGTATTGGAGGAACGTAGACAAACAAAAGTTGTAATAAACGTCTATAAAAACCTAAATATGGAACTGAAAATCGAGTTTTATCCTATGTTACGTAAGTTCGCTGATCCCCATTCTAACGGCGATACTGTGACATTACCTAACGTTCAGAGAAGCTACCTGTCTAGTCTAGATCATTCCACACTGTTCCAATCATGCTATGTGAACAATTTGAAGCAGGTGTTCATCTAAGCGTAGAGATTCCAACAGCCTGACGTCACGAAGGGTCTAGAAACCTGCTACGGAGGCGACAATTCGCTGAGAGAATTCCGCGGAATTCCAGAATAACGGGACAAACATATATAAGGTAAACTAAATTGTAGATAGTTAGTCTAATAAATATTTGTAGTGTAAAGTAAATAAAATGTTATACATTAGTTGTGTTTTTAGTGTTCTTCTTCTTTGAGTACTGTGTCCAAGTTTTAATCGTGGGTAGCTTCCATGACGATTGGCGAATATCGATCTTGCGCGGCATATAATAATTCATTTGCTGATAAGCCAGTCCATTGACGATTTTAGTGTTATAAGACTGTAAATAAATAAAAGAAACGCATCGCCTATAATAGTTTTAAAAAACCCGTGCATGATATGTAGCATTTTCATATCCCCCGTGTGTATTACCAAAAAATATTCTCAATCTTTCTGCGTCACTGAGATTGATAATATAAACATTTTTACCTATGTAAAACATATGGGTATTTCTTTTGATGTTGATCCCGCCTAATATGGCACGTCAAATAAATGAGAAGAAGTGGAAAAATACGTCGGCACTTGCTCGGCAAGAACGAGCTTTACGGCTATCTGTGGGTCGGAATTACGCCGCCGCTAATTCCAAAGTTTGCAAAAGAAAAATAATGTTTTATAAATTCAAATGTGTAACGAAATGGAACATATACATAAAATTTATTTCATTACAATTTTATGCTTAATGTTTACTATTGAAAAAATCATGTTTTTGACAACTCCTGGTTAAGTCTTCTATAGAGAAGCACAAATAAATATACTACTTATATATTCTGTAATTTCTTATGAAAAAACGCAAATTGCAATTAAAAAAACGGGTAGTTTTCGAGGACCGCTGTGGATATTAGGCGTTTAAACAATGAATCACTCTTCCAAATAGTGGAATTATAGTATAGGTTGGTGGGAAAGTGATGCGGGGAGATTACGATGTCACTTTATGATGGAACGCCTGTAACCGTTTTAAAAGTTTTAGGAAATTCATTATAAATTCGATTATTTTTTTTTAAATAAAACTGCTAACCCCATCTATCTGCCGGGTACTTGTAGTCGACCCAAGGTTTCTACTGTAATTCTAAACATATCCGGTAGATGAGAACGATTATTAACTTGTCAATCACGCCCCAATTCAAACCGGTAAGTTATAGCGTCTATCTCTTTTCTCTTAAAAACATCCAACTATTGGAATATGTTTTTTGAAGTGGGTCTCTATATAGAGGTAAGCCAAAGAAAAAAGGTCTTTTTTGTCTATATTTTCAGATAAATAATTATTTTTAGACCTTTATCGGTGAGGATAAAGATCATTGATTATGTTTATTTGGCTCGAAGTTAACTGAGAAGTCATATGCTGTCGTAAACGCAGCCCAATATTTCATTATGATCTAAATGGTCCCCTAATAAATAATTTAATGAAATACTTAGAAGGTGAGGAGAAGCAGAGCATATCCTTTTTGTATGATTACCAGCTATTGGATAATTAAGGTTGTACCATTCTTTTTTATTATATCCTATCGAAAAAGCGAGAAATAATTATGGACTCAGCGAAAGGAAATATAGCAGTGTTTTAATTTTGTTTAAAGATTTAATTTTTCTATTATGCCTAGTTAATAAATAACTACTATAGTATTTTGAATGTAAACGAATTTCGAAATTTGGAAATAATATATAAATTCATTTGTTTTTAATAACCAATTCTTAATTTAATACGATATAAAGTTGTTTTGTTTATAGTAATGTAAATATGAAATGGTATTTTAGTATCCTTTGGGAATAACATGACTTTTAATGTTTCTTTTTATTACTGAGAAATAATAAAGTGTAATTTCGCTGTAAACTTTCTATAAATCTTATTTTTTTCTCTCCTCCTCCCCTTCGAGGATAAACCGAGGGTGGCGTCCAATAATAAATTATAATTTCAGATTATCTAATTGTGTTTGGATGTTTGAGATACTTCTTAGTTTCTATACATTTGACCGTACCCCGCAATTTCTCTCCGACATTGAGCGATTCTGGCCTTGAATTTAATTTGTGTGCTAAATGTATATTAAACATCTACGCTACACGCCAAATCGTTTGGATTCATGGTTTAGTCCAAATTTCTTTTAAATTCGTTATTGTTGTTCGTTATTCGTCTTTTAATATCGAAAATTGGTTAGTAAGCAGTGAGTTAAGCAGTGATAACAACTCTCAACAACAGGTCCTCGAAGACACTTTGTCTCAGGACCAAGTAACCTTATGTAGACTAATCTGTCGCCATATTCCAACGGTAACTTAAACATCTTAATTTTTAACAATATATAATGTAACACAAATTTAAATTAACAACATTTAACGGGTTTTTACCCATATCTTTTAGTGGCTCATAGCATATATACTTCATTACACTGATGATGAAATTCACATTCCTAAAACGTTCTGTAATGTAATTGTGATTTAGCCCGTTTGGTATTTTATTATATACCTTTTATAATTATAAAGGATTTTAAATAAAAAATTTTTATAATACATGGTATACAGCCAGCTACAGGAACAGTTTTCTAGTGGAGTATATAAAGTATTGTCCAACGTATTGTACAGAATATTGATCCCCTAGACCAGCGGTCGGGAACCGGGGTAAATTACCCCAATTGGGGTAAAAATGAAATTTTTGGAGGTAAAAATGAAACTTGTGAGTAAAAAGTATATATTTTAATTTGATTTTTTATAAACCTGTTTTGCATGCACCGAAATTTTTTTGTATTATTTGTGAAAGATAAATTACATTTTCCTACTATCCTTTGTAAATTTTTTATATGCCCTGGGAGGAATTTTAAACCCCAAAACCCCCCCTGGGTGCGCCATTGCACTCCCCACCAGTAGAGTGTTCTCGAGTTATATCTTTGCGCAGTAAAGCACAGCCCCGAGCCTCGGCTACCTGCTCAGTCCCTCAGTCCGTGCCGTGCAGTCAGAATACAAATACATTGACGAGTCAGAGAGTTATAGTTCGTTGCTGACAATCATTAATCATCGATCAAGGTATGCCACAATTTGAAAATTTAATTTAGGTATTTTACAACTATTATTTTCTGTCTCCTTCAGATGGCAGCAAATAGAAAAGGAAAATATCAAGACGAATTCCTTAATTACGGTTTTACACAAATAGAAGACAATGGTACAATGAAACCACAGTGTGTTGTATGTATGAAGGTATTGACTTCAGGATCTTTCAAAAAAAGTTAACTAAAGAAACATTTAGATAATTTGCATTCACACCTGTCTTCCAAACCGCGAGAATACTTTGCAAATTTAGAAATATCTGTTAAAAGACAAAGATTGGATAGCAACTTGTTTGGTACATTTGATCAGCGTTCAAGGGCTAGCTTTGAAGTAGCCTGGTTGATTACTCGAAATAAGAAACCATATACTATTGGTGAAGATTTGGTTAAACCAGCTGCTGTAAAAATGACAGAATGTGTGTGGTCAAAAAGAAGCGAACAAACTGAATTCAGTGCCCTTGTCAGCGAGAATTGTGAAAGAACGAATTTCTATATTAGCAGAAAATGTGAAGGAGCAAGTTATTTTCTCATTAAAACAGGCCAAATATTTTGCTATTCTGCTTGATGAGACAACTGATTTTAGTAACAATTCACAGCTAATGGTATATGTTCGCTACAACGGTGCAGATAATTTTGAAGAGGAATGGTTGTTTTGTTCTCCTCTCGAGTTAAGATCTCGTGGAATTGATGTCTACAATAAAGTAAATGAATACTTCAATGCGCAAAGTTTAAAATGGGAAAACTGTATTTCAGTATCTTTGGATGGAGCTCCAGCTATGCTGGGCCATATTAATGGTTTTTCGGCTTTCGTAAAAAAATAACCCAAATATTGGAGTTATTCGCTTTCGTAAAAAAATAACCCAAATATTGGAGTTATTCATTATATGATCCATCGCCAGGCCCTTATGGTCAAATATTTAGAACCTACACTGGAAGCCGTCATGCATGATGTCATCAAGATTGTAAATTTTATCAAGGTATATGCACTAAACACACGGCTATTTCGTGAATTATGTCAGGACGGTGAAGCCGAATATACGGACCTACTTTATTATACAGAAGTAAGGTGGCTCTCTCGCGGAAATGTACTAAATCGAGTATGGGCTCTCAAAACTGAAGTGGAAATTTTTATGGTTGATCAAAAAAATATTCTCGCAGATAAGTTTAAAAACTCTTCCTGGGTTGCATATCTCGCATATTTAGCTGACATTTTTGAGAGTATAAATATATTAAACAAAGAATTGCAAGGAAAGAATATTAATCATTTCAGCGAGAGAAATAGTGTCAGCGTTTGGATTAAAGCTGCAATATTGGAGTCAGAAAGTAGAACAGAACAAGATAGCTTCTTTTTCAAGGTTAGCTTTTTTTTGGAAGATTGCGAAAATATTACTTTTGCTGACATTAAGGATACAATTGTAAGACATCTTATCAAACTCAGAAAGCGGTTTTCAGATTACTTTCCAGATCTTGATATACGTACTTTCAGTTGGATTGTAGATCCTTTTAAATGTGAAATTGATATGATACCAGAAGAACCTTCAGGTTTGGCAGAAGCAATTCTTGAACTGTGATCTAATACTAAAGCACGTATTCAATTTGGGAGTAAACCAAATCTGTCGTCTTTTTTGGATATCAAAGCTGCAATAGCTTTCAAAATTGCACATGAAGAGGCGGTTAAAAAATTGCTGCCATTTGGAACAACATATTTGTGTAAACAAGGCTTTTCCACTCTAGTGAACATAAAAACGAAGAACAGAAATCGATTAAACGCCGAAGACTC